ATATTTTTAGCTATTTTATGCTGAACATATCTGATATGAGATTTCCAGGATAATCTGTCGTCAACCATGACACCCAGAAATTTGATTTCATTTACTCGTTCAATGTTAGCACCCCCAATTCTCAATTGAAGTTCATTATGTGGTCTACGGTTCCCAAATACCATATATTTAGTTTTCTCCAAATTCAAAGATAGTAAATTACTATCACACCATTTCTTTATCTTCACAAATTCCTCTGAAACCCTTCAATTCAAGTTCAATTCAGAAAAATATGAAGAGGAGAAAAGCTTAATGACAGGAGGAAGGGTAGAGGTCTCTCTCCTGGCAATGACAGTAGATGAATTGAAGGAAATTTGACTGGAGATAGAAAAAGAAAATGGTATTTTTTTCACTGAATGTAAGAAATTATACATAGTTGCTAATAGTTTAACTGTATATTGCAACTTGATTTATCTTTCTGAAAGGGACAACTTCCATAACAATACCATTACACATTTTACTGATCCCATGCAGCGAGGTTTAAGTGCACCAGCAGCAATGACAAGTACAGAATCTGAGTTACTGCTATACATTTATTACTATTACTTCTATATCCATTTTGTACTGTAGATCTACTATATATTATGAAAGTATAACAGGGTACTGTAGACACAAGATAATTAAGCTGTAAAAAGTAAACACTGCACTTAATACATGGTACCAAGCAGCTGGCATGGAGCCTTGTGTATGCAGTGTTGGCAGCCTGAAAGCAAATTTACTGCACTTGTTGCAGCAAAACAGTTCAAAATTGTTTCTTGTGCAGACAGTGAAGTAGGTTACAGTAACAGCATATAATGTAATGTACTTTACTTCGGTGTGCTGCTAATTACTCTACAGAATAAGGTTTTACATACAAAAATATCAGTAGTTGATACAATTTTATGCATTGTTAAAGATCAATCCAAGGATCTGATAGCACACCAGCTCACCTCCAAAGATATTTGACAGTACATATGACAAAAGTAAATATTATTGGAAATTGTGAGTCCTATTATTACTGTGTAGAGGATGTAAACAGGACGTGTAATGCTGCCAAACGTGAGACCTGTTTTTTGGCACCTTGTCCCATGGATAGACAACTATTACTGGATTACTTTGATGTTGAAGAAAACTTTGAAACCTGGTGATTACCAGGTAAGTTCGGGAGTTAAAATAACTATATTCTTTTCGTATGATTCCTGAGCAAATATACTGTATGAGTGATTTTTCATGATGAACATCTGAGATATGACATCCTTTCAAAGTGTAACTCATGCTGAATCTAAAAATATGTGCATTATACCCATTTGTTCAGATTTGGCTCCAAGACACAGTATAAAACTTCAGCTCATGCCTCATTTTCTCTCTTCCACCCACGGCCCCCCCCCCCCCCCTTCAAATCTCCTGTTCTCCCTTTGGGAGGTGTACCTCACAGTCACATCTTAAAGTTGCAACATTAAAATTCAGTTTTTAATGCAACAGCTACAGTAATTCAGTAAATGGGACAGATGCCATTTTGCTGCTTAATGAGTAATTTTGAGTATTTTTTATGAGTGAGCCCCCTTTGTGTTTGTCTAGTACAGGTGCATAAGGACAGATGTGCATAAGAATACACATTGCCGAAGGTGGTTTTAGAATTCAGGTGTCAGTAATATGCCAAGAAAAAATGCAATGCACCAGCAGGGTGGGAGGAAAGGGAAGAAGATGACTGCTAGCAAGTAAACATGAATGTAAGCAGCGCAGGTTTCAAACCTGGCTCTGCAAATGTTTTATAAGGAAAGTTACTGTAGGTCTCATGGATGAGAATCACTGAATGAAACTTTGTTTACCAGAAAACTCCACAGGGCACCTTTAAGAGCTATGACTGGTAATGAAATATTTTTTATGATGCAATATTATTGCTTTAATTTAAGTAAATAATTTAAATGCTTCTTCCACCACAGTCCTTTTCGTAAACCACTGTACAAATATACAGTACAGCGTAGACTGTAGATCTGCAATAAAACGCACAGGAACCAAATGGGTGGAGTAACTACATTAAGCAAACTCTTTGTAGCTACATGCTGGCTCCAGAGACAGAGGTAGTGAAGAGCGAGTGACAACATCATTTGTCAGGTTTTTCCTGCGTGACCATGAGGCCAGATTTATTTTACAATCCCATAGAAGTGGAGCCCTCCAGCACCTGTGACCCAGCATCAAAACAGGTAAAGAATAAAGGGACACAATATAGCAATCACCTCCAGCCACTTTCATAAACAGACCCCATGTACTGTATCTGTACTGCAATAAACTCTGCTTGCTCCATACTTTACCTTGCTGTCTACAAGCAGGTTCCTTATACATCCAGTATAGTGTTTGTGCTGCAGCTGTGGGTATTCATATGATATGTTCTCATTGACCCCTCCAAGCTGCAATACACGACTTCCATTCAGATACCTGGGAAAGAAAGGCACACTTCAATCTACAAGTAAACACAGAAGAATAATGTCAGCAGAAGAACAGAAAACAGGCACCATGTAAGTTCTCAAGGTTACAATTCAAAACAGAACTCTAAATATAGAGAAACAGAATGCCCGCATATAAAAACAAAGGCACACACTATATGAGCTGTCAAGGTTACAACTCATGGTTTCATTCATTCCCTGCTGAGGCTGTCATTACTTTCTGCTTTCCGACAAGAATTATGACATTTTATTCTTGTTCTTTTTCCATTATTTTGAAAATACATGAGTATAAGGCATTTGACTGACTTTATCAAAACACAAACTGATTCAGCAGTGCACCCCTGATGTTTTTAAAACTGACTGACTGACAATCTACACAAAGGAAATAAAACACATAATCTGCTAATTTTAGCTTGTTAATGTGCATATACCATGTTTAATGACTATAGTCATAGCAATACATGTTTCGACTTACTTAAAATATTGAACCAAGGTAAAAAGTTCTTAAAATTTAAAAGTTATTACAATGAATAGCAGCAGTAAAGATCTAATAAACATTAAACTTCATAAACTTAAAGCTTAGCTGCACAAAAGCAAACAGACAAACAAAAAACAATGAGAACAGTGGCAAGACGAGCCCACGGTGGGGGAAAACAAACTCAGCTGTGGTGAAGCAAAACCTGGCTACGTGACGAATCATAGTCAGAAAGATTAGTCGGCATTTTATATCAGAGATTTTCATCAACGCGTTATTCCCTCCAGAGAGGATAGCCTGGTACAATAACACCGTGTGCCTAAAAGCAGTCTGAGTCACAATCTGATTTGATGTTGATAAATGAGGGTTGTACATAAACACCGTTTTAGATACTATTAGTTTTTTGCACAATAGAGCCAAAGTAGGGACATAATTCCCTTTTCCACAGGAGGAGTATCCAGGGACCACAAGCTGCTTTAGGACAGTGATACTGATTATTAAGACAAACTTGGCTGTAAAATGATCTCATTTAAATGTTATTATTCAGTTTATGATTCCACCTCAACTGTAAGGCTTTCAGGACCCAGTCTGAAACCAACAGTGTATGGCTGTGATTGTGTAGCTGATGTAACTGTGTCAGGTTGGCATCATTAAAAACCCCCATAGTATAGGGCTAACTTTAGTTTATGCCAATAGTAATACAAAAATTACAATTACAGATGCAAAGATGCATGCCAGTGCATAATAAATAAAAATAAATATCCAGCATTAAAATTCTGCAAGTCTACTAGTGGACAACAAACATAACTTTTCTGTTCTTTCCATGGAAACTAGTATTTCAGTTTCTGAGATTTTTACCGCCCTGCAAACTGCTGCTACTGTGACTGCTAATGCTCTGCTCTGAAGAGAACTGTTTACCCCTGTGGGGACACTGGACATTTAGACACTGTCTCTATAGGACATGCTTGCTGTTACTTTTTAAAACAGTGAACAGAAGCAAACCTTGGTAGTAGTTTGCAACCACAGAAAACAACCCAGGAGGATTGCCTGAAAATGTCTAAACCCTAATGGCTGACTACTTCAACCATAAACATGGAGGTTCTCCAAAACAAACATGCAGCCGCATTTATTTATTTCCTTTTATAAAATGTAATCAATACAATTTATTGTTTATCTTGTCATTTTGTACTGGAGCCCCGAGGTGCTTACTGGTTCCCTGTAGGATTCAGCAGAACAGTTTGGTTTTTATACTGTGATTGTTAGACTTGTTTCACTTAATGACTGATCTTACTTGTCTCTGTTGGGTGTGACCCCTCGGATTTCACAGGATGAGCGGTCCTCTGTCATTGCCCATGAGTCCACGCCTTCTGTCTCCATGACAATCGCACTGGAACATCGATCGAGAGTGAAGCGCACTTCCTTTAAATTGGAGGAAAGTGAAGACAGGTCATCACTGCTGCATGTGTGGATGTGTGACTAGACTGTAGCCAGAAACTCTTTACAAATTACAATATACTCTCTAGTCTCACATTTTCATACACAGGGAGAAAGAGAGAACGGCACTAGCATGAACACTCCTCTTACTTTACTGTTGCTCCTCACATCAAGGTGATGCCAGCGTCTGTCAGCCACCCCGATGTTGTTTGTTAACTGGAGGACCAAGGTCCCAGAACCGTGGTTAACCTTCAAACTGGGCGTCCCACCAATCAACTCTGAGGTAATGGGAGTTCAGAATTAACACTAAAGTAAACCAAAAAAGTGCCAGACCTGAATGAAAAGTTTATATATCCAAAAAAAAAGCTGACTCTTATGGATTTGTAGAGTAAAAACAGAATAAAGTGATGAAATGTATTGCAAAAGAAAAACAAATGCCAAGATGCAAATATTCACTTTGTGTAGGCACAGGAAAAAACCCAAGGGACATATGAAAGCTCAAAAAACATATGGTACAAACAAAAAAACAAAATAGAAGATAACAATACAATACAGCTGGATTAAAGCAGGGAATGATACCAGAAACAACACGATGGGAAACGTACATGAGTAAATAATCAATTCAAGGGTCAGTTCATCCAAATTCACAGCGAGCTCTGTGGATTAAGCAGTAATGCTGACACTGTTTTGAGAATGAGATGTTGCAGAGTTGCAGAGTTTCTTGCAGAGTGCAGAGCATCTGTCTTATTTTGTGATATTTACGGGGGGCATAAAAATTCCAGCATTGCTCTACAACACCACTAAAACATTACTTTATGTACAATTTTATTCTACTCCTTTAACAAAAAAATGAAGGAGCAGGTATCATTACAGTAACTACACTCCTTTGGTTAAATTTGATTTCAGTGGAATAAATATCATTATTCTGGCAGTGTATCACTATTTTTAAAGATATATAAACACCTAACATTCACTATACGCAATCGCCTCTTTTCTTTGATAAAATTTTTACTCCTGTTCTTCACCTGCAAGATTCAGGTTCAAGTCTTTGTGTCAGCAAGAAAAGCCCCGCTGATGTATCTCTGAGTGAGATATTGCCTGTCTACCAAACACAAGGTCTGTTCAGAAGCCGAACCGCTGCTTTGACACTGAAGCAGGGGGTAAACAAAAAGAGAATTCCTTGTGGCACATGGTAAAATATTATATATACACATTCAACTGAGGTGCCTGTGTAGCACCACATGAAGGACTTACTGTATAAGTTGGTGATAGTGTGTTCATATCCCTCAGCAGTACACCAAAGAACAAAAAATTGCCTCATATATCTGATTAGCTACCACCCAGTAATTAAACACACAAAATTAATTTCCAAGTTTTAGCGCAGTAACTTCCCAGAGGCCCCCTGGTGCACATCTAATTATCCAGACTTATTCCCTACCTATGGCCATGTAGTCCTCAGCATCCCCAGGCAGTAGAGTGGCCAACGGGCCGGCATACAGCAGCAGTCCATCGTCTTCCTCCGTCATAAACTCCAGTGAAAGATGGCTATCGAAACACGGCCTGATTGTGGGAAACCAAGCATAGCCGTTGCCAAGGAAACTAAGTCTCGTTTGCTGACAGTCTGGCCCCTCAAGCTGTGGGGGGCAGTGGCACCTGTAAAACAGAGAGGGGAGAAAACCTAAGGAAAACCAAGGCAACGGGGAGAGAAACAATCAGTGTTGTTCATGTTTTGCGCTTTGAGAAATCCTCACACTGTTCAGGGTCTGGATCTGTGTGTGGTAACTTTTTTTTTTTCTGCCAGTCTCTGACTTTGACAGTCTTTGACATTTTTCCAGCACAACAGCTGTCAGTGGCCAGCTAAGAAAACACTGTTATCAATCAAGTGGTTGCATTAGCCATGAATTCTGAATATTCAATTCTACATTAATCAATTAACTACAAACACATTTACTCTGGTCTATTCTTTATCTATCACAGCTGCCTGAAATGAACCCTCTGGAGACTGTTCGTGCCCAGCACATCACATTTCCTTTGTTAGGCGATAATTAATTCTATTTCTCTGACTTTTCTATGCCCTGCACCACCAATGATTTCCTGGACTTTTCCCTCACTTATCCCCGCCCTCCCCCCTCTCATTCTTAAGGTATTACACACTCTAGTTAATATCTTCTTGTACTTATCTACTTTGATTAGAGCTTGAGTGTTTAGGCTCATTGCTCTTGCGGAGACTGAAAATGTAATGTTTTCCACGCCCCTCTTCAGTGTTTCTGGTAATGGTAAATGTTAATAATCATGCAAAAACACCAGTTAAGGAAGAGATATGTGCAGTGATAAAACACCCCGTCCAGCAGCTGATTCAGTCACTGCGATGGGGGGCGTGGAGGGGACCAGCTCTCATTCTGCCCCCTCCACTGCAGGCATGTGAGACAAGGTGGCTTTGCTGATAATGTCAAAGCCATCTATTTTCATAGTGTTGGAGAAAGGCTGTGTGTACTGAGGCTTTTAGGGACTGTTTCTCCCCTTGCTGTTTATTCTGCAGAGGGGCAACACATGTCAGGAATACTGATCCATACGCAGCAAAGGGACTGCTCAGGCTGAGTGTACCCTTATGCATACATATGCACATACTTTATGCACCGAGCACACCACCTCACTCTTTCACTGCTTTTTCATATGACTCGTGAGAGCAATGCCAATCCAAATCAAGAAGTGCGGGGCATGTTTTTCTTCACTTCTGACTGACAACATCTGATTAGCTGCTGTGTGAGGTTGCCTGTTAAGCTCCTTTGACAGAGAATAGAATCAAAAACAGGATCCTTTATGGCTGTCCTGCATGCGCATGTAATATATATCTGGAGATATTCTTCTCCTAGAGCAAAGGCTTCTCTCAGCACTGTATCAACTGCAGCAGAAACAAGCAAAAGCCAAAACAAAACAACAAAAACAAAAACAACAAGAGAAAAAGTAGTGTACATCCTCTCTTTGAAGGCAATGCCTCTGGAAAACTTGCATGTTCATGTACATGGAATTAAATGAGATTTTGAGAAGTTGTGAGCATAGAGGGGGGCCAGAGCAGTATTAATTCCCTTGCCCTATATTTATTTAATCTGAACATTAGTGTGTGCATCAAATGAACTACATGCTGTTTCTTGTGCGACTCCCACAGAGACCTGTTGACTTAAAAGTGAAGGCCTTTACACCGACTTCACACGTTTATCAATATTTATGGTTAATATTCTAACTAATGACTAAAAACACTGACACCAAGGCTGTGTTCATTATTTACTATTACGTTTTGCAAAACACAGTGTGCCAAAACTTTAACATTTCAAAACCAGGTGATAAATCTACTGGTCTAAAGATCCTGCTACTCTACTGTACACTATATTCAGGTGGCAACACAGCACAGCAGATCAAGCAAGTTAGGTCAGCTTGCAGGTGAAGGAGACTGTTCTCATGAGGGCTGCTGTTAGCAATTCTGGGATCCTTTTCCAAGCTGTCACACTTACAGTGAGTCTAACAAGACTAAAGAGAAAACTGCAGCACACCAGGTAACTTCTATTTCGGTTTCCTAACTCTTAAAAGCATTTTTCAACTCTAGTCATCCTGAACAATTGCAGACATGCCTCTCACCTGTATCCATTCTGGGTGTCGACACAGGTCCCCCCATTAAGGCAAGGGTTAGTAGGGTAGGAGGAGCAGGGTCGGTGGGTCACTTCCCTTGCAGCACAACCACACACAGCTGAGGACGCCACCTTCACTGAGACCAGGGATAAAACACCGGAGTCTACCAGGGTGGGCGACTCACTGATGCTTAACTGTGTGGAACAGCCGCCAAACGCCTTGCAATCTGTGCGCACACACTCGTCTACCTGCACCTGGCTCACGTTCACATGCAGCAGTGACTGCAGCTGCAGAGAATCAAAAAGGGAAGAAGGGAGGAGATGAGTGAGATAAAAATGGAATTAAGTAATTGTCAGTGAAGATACAAGGGGGTACACAGTATTTTACATTTAGAGAGCTGAAACAACTTCAAAGGCGATGCAAAATAGAAAGGCAAAGCCTAATCTACATAAATACTTTCGATTTTCTGTAATTGGTTGTTTTTAAGAACCAAGGCATAAAGCTAAGAATGGCAGATGAATCCAAATGATACGCAATCAAAACAGGGAAGAAAGGAAGGGAAAAAAAGAGGTGAGACATATAAAGCTAATGAATACAAGAGACAAAGAGACATGACAGGCCCAAGCAGTAAACAGACAGAAAGTTGGTGTGAAAATAAAAGGGCAGATAAAAAGCCCTGTTATCTCTTCCCCTCAAGCTCCCGAGTGTATCACTTGATATATGAGCATTGATCTCTATCTATCAGACACAATGTTATATATACCTTCTTTTTATTTGCTGCGAGGACACCGTGCAGTTTCTCCGGACGCATGTATCCATTATCATTTAGCACATAGAAATAGATGTCCACGCTTTTCTCCTCTCTATCCTCTATGCTGAAAATGTTGATAGTCTCTGTTCTGACAGACAGGGTTTCAGACAGGAAGTCCCAGAACGTCTCCAGGCGGCTCTTCCTCCCAAAGTGCGATTCGATAAAATCTCTCGCTGTAATGCCTTCAGGAGACAAAGAGAGTGGGAGTTCATGCAATAAGGAGTACAGACTCATCAATGACAGCTACAGAGTTGATCAAAGTCTACTGAGTTCCTGATTCCATTAGCACAATAGTAGCCTAAAATCTCCCTCTATTGATCCACTTCCTCCCTGAATCATCCATAGGGTGAATCATTAGTGATGCCGTCAAGTAAAAATCACTTATTTCTTCACTGGAATAAAGTTAGGGGTCTTGAAAAATTGTCATACAAAATATTTTAATGACTGCAAAATCAATCGCATTTGTGGTGCCACCCTCCAATAATATCTAGGGAACGCAGGCATTCATCTTTAATCTCTAAAAATGATGATGATATGCAGTCAGAGGCATCCATAATAGCCTCAGACTCTGTTTGCCAAATAGCTTTTTAAATGTCAAGGACTTTACCTGAGACTTCTAAATTGACCTTTAGAGCTCTGATTTGCTCTGAGACTGACAGAAAAATGAACACTAACATAAACTTCAGTGTCGAAGAAAGAAGAAAAACACTGTTACCAGCAAGCAGTGTGAACAGCTGCTTTACAATGCTTAGAAATGTTAAATAATGCAAGTATAAAAATTTCTCCTGACAGCCTATTATTTCAGTGTTAACTGGATTGACAACCTGATAATCATTCAATGAAAGTACCAATTTATTCATGCCTGTGGCAGATGCTGTCTCTTTCAACATTAGCTCCAGAAGGGATTTTAACAACAACAGCAGACAAAGAGAGAGCTTTCTATTTTGCGGAGGATGACTGAGACAGGGAATCCTATTGAAAAATGATTATACTCAATATTTTTTAACTTATACTTCTAATGGTCATGTAGAGACCTAAATGAGTTGGAATCACAGTACACAATGGCTCAAAACCTTTTTTTGTGCTTATGTTTTTTACGGCATCAGTCAGAGTTTCGGCTAACACTACCTGTCAAACGCAACGAGGCAGATGACAGGATGGCCTTTTCCTCCAGCTCCCTGACATGAACTCTGACACCTGACATAACATCAGGCCACACCCCATCAGACACCCCGACCTTCAACCAGTAGCTGCCCGCTGGAGTGTTCTGTCGGATAGTCAGCACTCCTGAGCTCTGGTTCAGGCTGAAGTATCTGGAAGAAGCAGAGGAGTTGTTAGGTAGGAGTGAACGCCTGGAGAGAAAAGAGAAAGAAGATAAGAGGCTTCTTTTGTTTCTGAGCTCAGAGGAAAAACGCCTGACGGATGGCAGACAGACAAGTAGAGAACTGGTCAGTAATACCTGGGTTTCCTCCAGCAGGAAGTGAATGAGAATTCATTTCAAAATAAACCAAAAAACAGAAAAACAAAAACTGCAGGGAAGAACAAAGAAAAAAAATCTTTGGCTCCAAAAAGAGTTTGACAGTTGTCATGGTAACTCGCAGAATTTGTTATATGAATAAAATAAATGTGTAATTGGTACCGTGTTAATAATTTGATTTTGAGGGTCTGAATACTAAATCGCTGCACAAAATGCTCCCGCGGACTATTTCATTCTGGGAACGGCATACAGGTGGACCGAGATTGCTTAATTTGTTTGATTCTGATTGCATCTTCTAGAATGGTAATCACTGACGACAGCTATGATTAAAGACAGTGTAGATAGTGTAGCTTATATGAGATGGCACGGAACTGGATCTAACGTAGGAAGAACTACCTATTAGGCATGTTTCAGGTTGAGTGATACAGTATCACTGAATAACCTCAAAGCTAAATCCACATCCTCTTTAGTTTTCAAATTTTACACTATTGGCACTTTGCTACTGCTGTACTTTAACACTTGTACTTGTGCTGCGCATTCAGAGATGAACATGTTTTCTGAAAAAATCCTACACATTTAACAGTGAGCTCTTACTTGGCTGCGCTTGTCTCCAGAGTGTAGGTCTTGTTGTCCCAGTCATCAGGATCTGGGGCATACACCTTACCTAGTGCAGCATTTGCCATCCTTCCTGTTCAAAGTAGACACAAAGACACAGACACACACGTACACACACACACACACACACACACAGATTGATTCCGTCTGGACAGAATCTGCTGATGCCAACATTTATCTTTTCATCCTTCTCTTCTCTGTATCTTCTCTTGTTCTGTTCTACTTATTATGTTCATAAGTGTGCTGCCTGACTGCTGGAATGAATAGACTCTCAGTGCTTCAGACAGTGCAGAGCTTAAGGAAGTGCCCCTATATCAGTATGGATTATGTTATTATCGACCTGCTGTGCCAGAATACTGCAGCTGGATAAACAATGGCAGCCTGGATGAGTCATAGCGCTCCTGTTTTCCACAATTACCAAAAGTGCCAAGTAGCTGAGTGTGCGATCAAGCCTACGTACAGTACCTAACCAAACATACCTGGAGGTTAAAGATAATGAAAGAAGGCAAAAAAAAAGAGCAATCACAATCCTTATCATGATGGGATGTTCAGATGAGTTTTAGGCATAAGGCTGGTGAGGGAAAAAATGTGTTGAGGGCTTAAGAAAAGATTTGACAATGATATAACCATAACGAAACGCTGTTAGAATGTTAAAGGAAGACCGCAATTATACATTCGAGACTGCACCGAGTAGGTATAGGAGTGAAAACTTTTCCCTTCAGCTGTAGTCTCAGTTTCCCCTCTTCATTCATGCTCTGCCTGCAGTGAAAAGCTCTGTAGCGACGGGGGCCAAAGAGAATGAAATGAGGAGACGTACGCAACTCACCCTTGTGGCTATGCACATAGACATCTTTCTCTCCTGCCTGATGGGCGTTATCATTCTGGTCACCAATAGTGATGGTGAGTGTGTCTGTGGCTGTTACTGGGGGACTGCCACTGTCCGTCATAATCACCGGCAAGCGGAACTCACTCTGCCTTTCCCTGTCGAATCTCCGCAGGGCAGTGAGTGTGGCAGAGCCATTCCTGTGATCCTGCAGGTGGAAGTCGACAGAGTAAAGCGAGGGCAGGGAGAGAGAAAAAGGAGGCCCGTTCTCTGGGGAGTCTCTGTCCACAACTTGAAGCAGAGTCGAGCTCCTGTTGAGCCAGACCACCTGAGGTGCTGGACTGTTCTCCCACAGCACCGGGGTATAGGCTGTCTCCAGCTCTGGCCCGTTGTCATTCATGTCTAGCAGAAGCAAGTGTACCGTGACACTGCCAGTCAGTGCTGGGGTACCCCGGTCTGTCGCCATGACGACCAACTCATAACTTGCCACTGTCTCCCTATCTAGTGGCTTGGCAACCGTTATTACACCACTTTGGCTGACTGTAAAATGTCCATATGGGTCAGACTGAGGAAGAATGCTGTAAAAAATGTCCCCATTTAAGCCTGAGTCAGTGTCAGTGGCCACAACCTGAATGATGCTGGTTCCTACAGATATATCTTCAGGGAAAGGGGAAAGCAGGTGGGAGCTCAGAGCAAACACAGGGGCATTATCATTGTTATCTTCCACTAGAACCAGACAGTGGATGAGGCTAGAGAAGTCACAATCCTCCACCTTGACAGTAAGGTTAAACCGCTGCTCCCCTGGCTTCTCAAAGTCCAACTTGTGCTTCAGTCTCAGAGTTGCTGTCTGATCCATTCTGTTGGTGACCATGTAGAATCTTTGCTCGGGGTCTCCAGACACCACAGTGAAGGCCAGCTGTCCATACAACCCAGCATCAGGGTCCACAGCGCTCAACTCCAGAACAGGAGCGTCTTCATTTGTGCTCTCCGGCACACGAGCACCACACAGGTCCTCTGTAAACTTTGGGACATGATCATTCATGTCTGTTACTACTATAGTGACAGTAGCTGTACCTGTCATACCCCCACCATCCCGGGCCTCCACTACCAGCTGGTGGCTGTCAAGAAACTCCCGGTCCAGACCCTCTGCTGCCACGGATATGGTGCCGGTGCTGGAATCAATAGTGAAAAGTTCTGCACTGTTTGTGTTTTGTGCATTCTCAGTAATCCGGTAGATGAGGATTGCATTCTGACCTACGGCTGCATCATCAAGGTCTATCGCTGTCATTTCCACAACAAAAGTTCCAGGAGGGGAGTTCTCTGCCACGCTACTCTGGCAATTATCAGGTGCACATGAAAACATGGGGGCATTGTCATTGATATCCCACACGTTGATAATAACATCCGTAAAGCCAGTAAGTCCCTCGCCCTCTTCATCCGTGGCCATGACAACAAAGCGCCAGACGGCACGCTCTTCTCGGTCTATGGTGCGCTGGGCATACATCTCTCCCGTGATGTCGTTGATCATGAAGTGTGACTCTGCCCCTTGGCCATGAATGGAATACCGTATGGCGCCCTGGTCTGCATCTTTGTCTGGGTCAGTAGCTGTCACCTGCAGAGATAAAGACAAGACTCCTTCAGAAAATGGACTCATTCATCCAGTCAAACCCAAATTTTACTTACTCTTATCTATTTTCAGTTGCCAAAAACATCTTCTTTTCTTCTGGAGTTGTTTTAGACAGCCATTTTAAGTGTTTGCACATTTTCATGACCAGCCAAATGAAAAGAGTGCCATCTGGGCACTAATGTTTCTTGCATTTGACC